ATTCTGAAAAACAAGCTGTGATAGAAGAAAGAAAAACTGTAAGATAATTCTTGTTTTTTACTACCTAAAAATGTCCTAAAGAAAATCAAATATTATTTAGAAATGAAAAATGAGGGTTTTTTTCCTTCCTTAAAAGACCTCTACTATCATACTTCTAATGTTAATATTAGGATTTCAATCAACTTTATTTATTTTTTTGAGATGGAGTCTTGCTCTTTTGCCCAGGCTGGAGTGCAGTGGTGCCATCTCTGCTTACTGCAACCTCTGCTTCTCAGGTTCAAGCTATTCTCCTGCCTCAGCCTACTGAATAGCTGGGATTATAGGCTCCTGCCACCACACCTGGCTGATTTTTGTATTTTTAGTAGAGACAAGGTTTCATCATGTTGGCCAGGCTGGTCCTGAACTCCTGACCTCAGGTAATCTACCCGCCTTGGCCTCCCAAAGTGCTGGGATTACACGCATGAGTCACCATGCCAGGCCTTTTCAATCGACTTTAAAATGCCCAAGGCATACTAGTTGAAAATATCAAAGCAAATTTCCTTTTTTCTCGTTTCAGAGGCCAAACACTAGATCAGTTATGCCTGAAGGTATAGCAGTGTTTTAAAAAATAAAAGTTTAGTTTTTTAATTCTTTCTTATCCTAATTTTGTTCAGCCTTATTTACAAAAATAGAGGTCTCTCACCCAAGTACCTAAGGAAACACACAAATTAGAAAAGAAGTTAGGCTCAGGTGTAAAATTTCTGGCTTTTTTCCTTTCCTCCTTTTCCTTCTTTACCCATGAGAATGCCTGCTATCTCTGAAATTACTGTCAAAAGCAAGTGAGGTGCAGAGACCATGAAACAATATCAGGTTAAAAAAACCTGATTAACCATGCTTAAGCTAAAAAATATAAATGGTAATATACTGGTAAAATTGCATAAGTCACTCGGTTTATACTAGTTAAAAAGAAAATTCTATTACTCATTTCACAATAAATTATCTACATTATCATCTGATGAAAAACTACCAAGCTAATAATATTGTTATTTTAGAGCATTTCCCTAAATAATGGGTCTTAAGAAAAGCTTAAAATTTCATAATTTTCTCCAAATAAAATTAATTTTAATAATTGACATGTCATCTCCAAATTGTATTTTATCCATTCTTTCTTTCCTATGCTTTTATTGCATAAAGCAGAGTAATGGAAGCCCTTTACATAATGCATAAAAAGCATAAGGCGCCATCTTACACAAAAACAAAAGTGGATTTGTAAATTCAAGATTCAAGTTATATTCTGGAATTCATCTTAGAAAAGAGGCCAGTCATACTATTCAAATCACAAAGAATTAGATAATAAATGAAGAGAGAGAGAGAAGAGTGTGTATGTACACACACGTGCATCTGTGTGCATACGTGTGTGTATTAGTCCGTTCTCACAGTGCTAATAAAGACATGGGTAATTTATAATGGAAAGAGGTTTAATGGACTCACAGTTCCACAGGGCTGGGAGGCCTTATGATCATGGTGGAAGGTAAAGGAGGGCCAAAGGCACATCTTTACATGGCAACAGGCAAGAGAGCATGCGCAGGAGAATGCCCCTTTATAAAACCATCAGATCTCATAAGACTTATTCACTATCACGAGAACAGCATGGAAAAGACCTGCCCTCATGATCCAATTACATCCCACCAGGTCCTTCCCACAACTCATGAGGAGCTACAATTCAAGATGAGATTTGGGTGGGGAACATAGACAAACCATTTCAGTGTATAATTTGAGTAAATGTAATTAGACTACAAGGGAAATGTCTAAAAATTTTAGCAAAATTGTAAAATGTGTGCAAACATCATGAAATAGCAAATGTTAAAGAAACATACACTATTTCCAAGCAAACAGACTTTAGAATCTCTACACTGAATAGAGAAAGCAAACATTTTTCAAAGAATACGACAATGCAGAGAACAGAATTAAAACAAGCTTTGGTCTTTAAAAAACTTTATTTCAAAAATAATTATAGAAAGTATATTTGCTATATTTTTTAAAAGCTATGTTTTTGTGAAGATAGTTTAGTTAATAAAAATATTTGCATAGATTGTTAACATCTTCTGACTGAAAACAATGTTTGGCTCCATATATATATACTGAACCTGGTGTCCTAGAATATACGCATGTAAGGGTTTACTCTGTTTTAGAAGACAGTGTGGGAGGAGCGTAACCAATCATACTTCACTACAGTAAATGGACACATCTAGAATAGACATAATGCCATCACTGTCTGTGCCTTGGTCAAACAAGTACACTGATATTAAGAATCTGAGATGCTGCCTTTTATGCAAATTAAAACTGAACATAATACTACCATGCAGTGTGGTATTTCCAACACAGAATTATAAAAGAGGTGTCTTTTGGCTCTTCTAGCAAAGTGTCCACCTTTTTATTCATTCCAAGAAATGTACTTACTTATTTTTTTACATTCCAAGAAGACATAAAACTTGGTACAATAGGTCAAAGGGACTGTTAAAAGCCCCTTTATTTAACAGAGCATTCATATATAAACAGAAAAATGATGTTGTTTGATGTTAACAATAACAATAAGCCCTCACCCTCACTAAACCAACAATTTAATAGGACTCTTTAGGGTGCGTGGTTTTGTAGCTATTTGAAGTTCTCTCTTCATCCATCTATTAAAATGGATCTCATAATTTATCTTCTGACTTTTCTAAGATGATTCAATATTGGATGTTCTATTTATTTAGTGAAACTTCTTTCTTAGCTTCTTTTCATTTGCTCGTCTCTTAAATGATGTTTCTTAGGGCTCATTTTTCTATCCTTTATTCCCTTGCCTTAATCAAACTCATTAGCAATCAACATTTCAACTATGCACTATAAATGTTTTTTTCTCAAAACTGTCTCTTCTTTCTCTTATGCACCAAACTGATTAAACCATCTGCATACTGAGTGTCTCAGAAGTCCTATAGGTATTTCAAGCTCAACATATCAACAACAGAATTCACTTTCTTCCAAAATCTGCTTTATTTTCTCTCTACGTATTTTGATGTCAATGAACATTCACCCAGTCTCCCAAATTATAAACTTCTGGCTTCATCTACGCAGGCTCACCAAATCTTAAAAAACTAAACTTTATATTTCAAAAAGAATTAACCATTTCAAAACTTAGATCTGAATGTGTCTTCCTTTGCTTAAAACACACACACACACACACACACACACACCCCAAGATAGTCATCTTCTTATTGTATACAGGACCAGTTTCTCTAGATATCTCTCTCCTGCCTCGCTCTCCAAAGACACACCTATCATCTACAATAGGCCTTACTTGCACTTCCCAAGTATTTCTCTAACTCATTCAATAAATATTAAGAGCTATCTATATGCCAGGCACTGTTCAAAGCATCGAGGATACTGCAGTAAACAAAAAGTTTCTGCCCTTGTGTGAGTGATTTACATCCTGGTAGAAGAAGACAGACAAACCAAACAATTATACAATATATGAGGTGGCGGTAAGTACTATGGAGAAGAAGATCTGCCTATAAAGGTAACACAGAGAAAAAAATGTATCACACATTATGAGACACTAATTTTTCCAGCAAACAGCATGTTCTTGCTATAAACTATAGAAGCCCAGCATGTCTTTAAAAGTGCAATTATACTTCTACATTCCTTAATTTATTTACCTTTCAACTTAAGCTACAATTTAAAAATACATCAAGTGTGATACTGAAATGTATAGTCATTGAGAGGCATAGCAGAACACAGCTTATTTCTAACAACCAATTATAGTAATTTTACTTTCTAAGATTAAAGTTGATAGAGTCGATTGTTTTCTTGGATTCTAGTGTTTTAGTTGGTTCCTAATGCACCCGGAAAAAGCACTGTGAGTGCTGGCACATTTCAAATTATGTCATGAGATTAGAATCTATTAAACATAAATACTCATCTATAATTAATCTCACTGTTTGTTTCACTTTTCCTATAATACTCTAACTATACCATGGTTTTACATTCAGAACCTGCAAATTAAGACTTCACAGTAATACTAGAACATTTGAGACAGGAGTTTTTTGCTGGTGATTTAAAAACAGTTGTTCAATTGTCTGAGTCACTTAAGTACATTATATGTCTCAACTGTTTACAAAGTGCTGAAACAACATGAAAAAACCTACAAAAGAGCACTGTTTAAGATATAGGATATTACTAAAAGATTTGACAATGAGCCAAAGAAAATTTACACAGACATTAATTGGCCTGTTTCATACTCAGAAAATTACAGATTTTCCTTACCATGTAAATAATAATACAGTTGAAAGGAATTGAAATTGAGGAATTTTCATTATTGTTCTATTACATGTGGCTCCAGTCTCAATCTCAGGACATAAAAGAATGAATGAATGAGTGAATGAGTGAGTGAGTGAATGCTGGTGTTTTAGTGTTCATATAAATCTGTAAAGAAAACTAATGTACTTTTTTAAGATGTAGAAGTTAAATCTGAAATGTTTTAAACTTCCAAATAACTAAAGAGCAATTAAGCTTGGTGCAAGCTGAGCCTGACTTTAATGACTACAATCCACACAAGCAGAGTTCTGTCAAAGTTTTCACGGTTTCAAGAAAAATGATAAACTTTGTCACTTCTTAAGCTTACACTTCCGTCAACAATCCCTAGATCCTCACCAACATGCCCATCGTGGGATGCTCCTTTCTGTATCCTACATGCTGATCACCTTCTTCCCTCCACAACCTGGTTGGCAGACAGGGGGAAACATCTCAGGCCCAGCTGCAATTCCTAAGTGTGGGCCCATAGGAAATAACGGATCGGGGAAAGGGATGGGGTAGATCAGTAGTCCACGGCATACTGGTAACTCTATGCTAGAGTGAAAAGCAGCTATCACTGTGCTCTCAAGGCCAGAGGTTATATTCTATTTAACAAACAAAACCAAAACAAAAGATAGGTAAGAGGCAAACTTTACATATTCTCAAAGCTAAGGAGAAAAGAATATACGTACCGCATCTGTGATGTCTATTTCATACACCCTTTGGAAAGTCCTACGCTCAAAGAAAACAAGTTTGCCGCTGCCACATCCTCTTTGCACAGATGTACCAGTGACTATGAGCTTATCATCCGGACTGAAACAGCAGTCAGTCCTATAGAAAAAAAGAGTTTATGAGTATAGGCTTATGACCTGCATAAGCTGGACAATAGTCTAACAATAATGAATGAATTAAATAAAACATCACTGTAATAAGAGCTAACTCCTATACAGGGCTTATGAGTCAAGCACTTACATTAATTTATTTAATGGTCACAATAATCCTATGCAGTAGATATTATCATCCACATTTTACTGATGAAGAAACTGAAGAAAATAATTTAGTTACACCTTGCACACGGTAACACAAGTAAGCAGCGTGGCTAAGATTCAAACTTAGGCAGTCTGATTCCAGAATCTGTGCTTTTTAACTTCCACATTACAATTTTTTTTAATGTAAAGGGAGCATTTAAAAACTCCATATAGACATTAAGACTGTCTACAGACAGATATATATATATATGATTAATGTCTAAGTAATGATTATTTTGGCCATTTTAAAAACTATTTTTACTAACACCACTACCATCACCCCCAAATAATTTGAGTTATGTCAAGTCGAACACCATGAAATGAGCCACAGATTGCACTGCCGGAACCTAATAGATGGCTTTGATTCCAAGGCTTTTGTTATTGGCGGTCTGGCCATCTGACTGTGACTAATCCAAGACATGACCCAAAGAAGTTATATAGTTAGCATTACTTGTAGCAGGTATAATAGCTCAAAAAATTCTCATCAGCTATAAACTCATGTTTGTTTGTTTTAACATAAAATGCAATGGGCAGCAGACCGTGTTAGAGTTAGTGCTGCATTATTATACAGCTTCCTTCACTTGATGCTTGCATTATCATCATGCTAGCGTCATTATTGACACAGGTATAAAATTTCATTTCTACTAAAATAGAACAATTTGCCTAGGCACCAACTATAGGACTTAGAGGTCAAGTTTCAACTCAGCTGTCTCAAGAAAATCTTTAAAAGTTTCAGGTGACAATTTAGTAGATTGGAGATAACAGTGAGACAGTCTGAACAAGTGAAGGATGCTGAATTATTGAATTGAATGATTAAAAAACAAGAAAGAAAATGAGCTGTACTATAAATGCTCAGTAAATATTAAAAACTGCTTTAATGGTATGACAGCTCAAATTTTAAAAAACCACAGATTTTAAAAGGCCCACCTTGTCATTTATACAATATTAAAAGAACAGTTGAATCTCTTAAAACATTTTTACTACCTCAAGACTTGTGCATGCATACAATACACACAAACACATGAATAAATGCAAATACATAATTTTAACTTCAAAAAAGGTTTCTGAAGTCTACAGAATGTGCAAAATAAGAAAAAATAAAATACATTTTTCAAAAAACAGATTTTGATCACTCTCTCAAGTCTCTTTTCCAGAAGATCTAAAAGCCCTGACATAAATTAACATTAAGGTAAAAATACTTTTCTATTCTCCTATGCTGATCAAATATTTTAAATATGCTACTTACATTGGGAACATGGTGGGAAGACCCGAGGCTGAAAAAAGTGGCTTATTAAATTGTCGTATGTCCCATAATTTTAATGAATCATCACCTGACAGAGGAATGAGTGGGGGAAAAAAAGACAAAAAAGTGAATTGTGCAAAAAGGACTTGCTCCCAGTTTGTTAAACTTAATGTATAACTATAAGGAAGAAAGGGAAGGGGAAGGGAAGAAAGAGGGAGGAAAGAAAGGAAGAAAGATGCTAGACTCACACAAGCATGTTTTACTTTTTTAACTGTTCAGAGAGCCTGAAAGCAGTAGTCACAAGAACAGTTGAAAGCTATGTGATAATGAATTAGCCTTCTAGAAATTACTTTCCAGATAGATGTAGCATCTGCAAGGTAAAGGTACCCTGGAGAATCTGCTCTGAAGTATGATATTAGAGCAGATGGTAGTTCCCCTGTGGTGCATTTGAACACACCTGACTTCTTGAAGAGATTTTAATTTAACAACTATCAGGACTGAAAATAGTTCAATTTACAACAGATTCCTTTTCCCACTGGTGTGTGGGTAAAGCTATCCATTAACGTTAATAAGGGTGAGCCATGCGATTTCTTTCTCTCCAGTGTAATTCTACCTACGGCTATCATTCTCCACTTTGCTGGGGAGTACAGCTTTGCCAAGCCATTTAAAGAATAATGAATATTTTTAAAGAATCACTTTTTGTGCTCACTTTGGCAGCACGAATACTAAGACTGGAACGATACACAGAAGATTAGCATGACCCCTGCACAAGCATGACATACAAATTTGTGAAGCATTCCATATTTATATAAAGAATAAATTTTAAAAATCACTTTTTAATATTTCTATAGGGCAAATTCCTGAAAAGAACAAAAACCAAATTTATATAATGTTTTCAGTGTTCTTGCTCCCCAGTGCCCACAGCTGAGGCCTGCCTCAACCCCTTGGGTCCAATAAGGAATCAGAATCAGGTGCAAGTGAGGAGAGTGAAGAGTTCAGTAAAAAATCCCCCCTTTTACAGTGACGCTTCCTCTGAAACCACTTTTGGCAGGTGCACTAATTCACAACTGGCTCGACTCAGGACCTGCTTGTACTGGGAGAACTTTGTAAGCTCACCTTTGAAATGTCACGTTATTGCTTTTAGCTTTTTTTTTTTTTTTGAGAACAAGTCTTGCTCTGTCACTCAGGCTGGAGTGCAGTAGTGGGATCGCAACTCACTGTAACCTCAGCCTCCCAGGTTCAAGTGATTCTCCTGCCTCAGCCTCCCCAGTAGCTGGGACTACAGACATGCACCACTACGCCCAACTACTTTTTGTATTTTTAGTAGAGACAGGGTTTCATCATGTTGTCCAGGCTGGTCTCAAACTCCTGGCCTCAAGTGATCCACCTGCCTCAGCCTCCCAAAGTGCTGGGATTACAGGTGTGGGCCACTGCACCCAGCCTATTTTGGTCTTTAAAAAAAGGTTACATATCCCCACAATCTTCAAAAAGTAAGAAAACATTAACCTATATTAATTCCATCTAATCCAGCAGGTTATGCAGTTAGCAGAAGCACCTTGTAACACCCTGAGTACTCTTCGCTAAATAGATTTCTATCTGTCATATTCTATACATCCAGGAAGGAAAATGATGGAATACAGTATATATGTGATATTAACCAATTAAGTTATCCAAAATCTATTAAATATGCATATTAAAAAAAAATATATACACACACACACACACACACACACAAACACACACACACGTGTGTGTGTGTGTGAGAGAGAGAGAGATGGAAGGGAAACGTAAGAATTATCATCAAAATGGATTTTACTGAAATAGAGTTAGTTATACTTCTAAGGGAGTAATTATCAACTGGGTAATTACTCAGTTGAGTAATTATGGGCTCACCTATTCTATCACCTGTGAAGAATATTCAATCTACACTTTTCCTTTCTCCCCTATTCTCCCCTAACTCCATCTCAGAGACTTGGATATACCATCCTAAAGATGCATGAGTGGATGTAGGAATTCTTAAGTGGAGCATTTATCATTTGAAAACTTTCCTAGGGGATTCAGATACACTCTTGGAATGAGAGCCATTGTTTTAAATAAATAATATATAGAACTTTAATTGGGAGTCATCTCTGAACTCAAGTAGCTGGTCAGAATTGATGGACCAAAATACATATTTTACACATATCCCATTTGCCATGTGTATCATGAAATATTGCATGTATACGTGCTTTGATTTTTTAAAGTTACGCAAGTGAGAGAAGTTTAGATACAACAGTAAAGTTTTCTTAAACAGAATCTGAATGAGTTCCCAAGGGTAAAAGGACAGAGACTAGTTAAATTGAGGGGAAAGCTATGCCACTTCTCTTGCCTCTCTCTTCACTTCCACTATCCTACACACTGGGTTGTAAAGTCCTTTCAGGAAAAGGACTCTGTCTGTAATGTTTACAGTTTATACCCAGCACCTAACAGAATGACAGCTCATAGTAGGTGCTCAATATACAGTAGTTGAGTGACTGAATGAATAGCTAAATATAGCACTGCTAGACTCAGCTGCCTAAAGTGTAGCTCCTCCTTTGGCCTACAGAATAAAGGCTATGTAAGGACCTCTGCAGCATAGTTCCCATCTACTTACCATGCTACTAGTATTAATTTTCTTTACGTGATATTTAAGACCCTCTGTAACACAGCTCCAACCTACTTACTATGCTATTTCTTTTCTCTCCCCATAAATGGGTCTATAGGAAAATCTTCAGCTATGTCCCATACTCTCACACAATGCTGCCTTCACTATTTTCCATCTGCTTCTATCAATACACAGCCTATCTATGTGATAAAGACTTAGCAAAAAATTAGAAAGCTATATCCAACCATATGAAAGTGAGTAAACTTACAATATGACCATATAGAACTGTTTTTAAAAATAACATCTAGATATAGACTTCTTAAAAGTTAGTATTTGAACTGGAAAAAAAAAAGGCAATGGTCAACAAATAGAAGACTTTGAAGTACCAGACACAGAATTAAAAAATGGTATGGAAGGAATATAGGTGATCATCTATAAACTTCCCAAGGCAGAGGCAGAGATCATCTGTAAAGGCTTCAAACTCTTATGGAATTTGAATATAAATGAAAAACTTAGGCAAAAAATAAGTAAATATTTAAAAATTTTACTTGGTAATTTTTAATACAAATAATGTTGCTAAGTTGGAAATGCATTTTAATGAAGAAATCAGACTGGCAAAGGTACATTAACAAAAATGACGGCAAGCTTTACTAAGCACTAGGATATTACCGTCATATTTGTTAAAGATGATCATTTTATATACAGAAATATATCAAAATGAAAGCTTTTAACCTACCTCCACGAGAGGCAAGAACATTACCATCATAGGAAAAAGTCACACAGGAAGTGTCTGTGCCTGGGTCATGAGCCTGTTTATAGTGGAACTTCGGATGAACCTATTCACAAAGACAAAGTGTTAATATCTCACCTGAATTCAGAAGAGAATACTTCTGTGGCAAGAACATTTCACTTTATCATGATGACGATGATACACACCTATAGGCAAAGTATTAATTTCACATGACTGCAATTTGTTTTCTGGAAAAAAAAAAGGCTTTTAAAAATATCCATTTGCCTTAATAAAGAATAGAGAAGGTAAGTCCTAGCAGGAGACATTTTTCCAAATTGCCCTAGCAAGCTCTATAAAAGATAAGACTACAATAACTTCTTCATATTTACTTATTCATATTATGCTTATAAAGTTATTAGGACCAGTTCCTGTATTTATCGGAAACAGCAAATATAAATCAAGATTACAAGTGAGCAATCATTTATTTACCCCAAAATATTTACTGTATTCCTAGGATATGCCATACACTATGCACATGGTTGGAGGTCCTGAACTATCCTTAATGTGCCTGTAGAATGAATAACGATAATAATAATGGCAGCTAACCCTTACACAATGCTTATTGTATTTTAGGCACTATATGCTTTCCTATCTTGCCTATTTAGTCCTCACAATCACTCTGTAAGTTAGGTTCTACTATTATCATCTCCATTTTATAGTTTGAGAAACTGAGGTACAGAAACCGAAGTACCTTGTCTAAGGCCACACAGTTTGTAAGCAGTAGGGAAGAGTTTGAACCAAAAATACTCCTAAATACTGCATTATAATCCTTCTCTTACTGATTTATCTTTAATAGTATTTTTACTTCTAACGTTGTTTCTACACAGTTAATGACTTGTAATTCTACTACACCAAACTTGCCACTCAGTTATGACTTAGCAACCAGCACAAGGTACTAGGAAGTCAATTACCTCAAAAGGTATGGTCTATATGAATGAAGACATTTGGTCCATTAAAAACTTTGTCCCCTACATAGCTGTCATTACTAAGGTAACCTCTATAATAGTTCTGTATGTGTGTCTAGGTGCACCTGTGTATGCACACCAACATGACAAGCTGGCTAATTACACAATGATTCTGGGCCATTACCAATTTTCTTAGGGTACTTCCATAGCAAAAGACAGAGGCACTGCTGGTAATGACAGCATGTGAGTCCCTCCTGGGAGCCACAGGTATGGGAATGCAAGTGAGCTCATCTCCATTGTTCTTGTAGCAACCCTTATGAAGAATGAGTCACAAAACAGAGTTCATGTACTTTGCCCTCCCGATAATATCCCTGACACCCAGTCCCTGGGCTTACATCTAAAAAACATCCAGTAATGAGGAGTACACCACCTTATAAAAGAAGGCCATTTCATTAAAAAAAAAAAAAAATCTGTATAACTGAGTGAAAACTGGCTTCTCAGTTCTTCCTCTGGGTAACAGTCTTAGAATTTATATTAGTTATCATGCTTCTACCTTTCATGGATACAAAGAATTCATTGATTCAGCATTTTTTTAAATTGGACATCAACTGTATGGCAGACACTACGTAAGTTAATCAGAGAAAACACTAATGTGCAGAAATAAGCACAGCTTCTCAAAGACTTGGCAGTCCCCTGAAAGGATACAGATCAGCACACAGAGTGACAAGTGCTACAATGGGGAAATACAGAGTAATATGTAAGCACTGAGGAGAAGGTCCTAACCCAAACTTGACAATGAGGGAAAAAATAAATCAGAGATCTAACAGATAAAGTAAAAGTTAGCAGTTGCAGGAGCAGGAGGTGAGGGCAAGAAAGTATTTTGGTCAGAGGATACTACACTGTGGTAAGCCAAATTTTTACTCTCGTGACCTCTGCCCCCTAGTGTGATGCCCATGAATACCTTATATGGTCAAAGAAGCTTGGCAGGTGTAATTATGGTTACTAATCAGCTGACCTTAATAGGTAGATTATCTTGGATTCCAGGTGGGGCTGAAGCAGTTGCATGAGCTACAGTGCTGACAAAAAAGTCACAGAAATGTGACGGAAGAGGAAGTCAGAGAAATTTGAGACATGAGAAGTGTCTGACATGTCACTATCGGCTTAAAGATGAAGGGGGCCACATGTCAAGGAAACAGGTATCTGAATCCTGCCACCAACCAATAAGCTTGAAAGAGAACCTTGAGCTCAGATTGACAGCCACATCCCAAGCCAATACTTTGATTTTAGCCTAGTGAGACCCTAAGAAGAGAATCTACCCACACTGTGCCAGACTTCCTACAGAAATTGTGAGAAACCAAAGGAATGGTGGGAACCTGATATGAACAGGCCCCAGATATCAAGGCTGTATAAAGACATGTGATATAGTTTTGATCTGTGTCTCCACCTAAATATCATGTCAAATTGTAATTCCCATTGTTGGAGATGGGACCTGGTAGGAGGTGACCTGATCATGGGGGTGGTTTCTCATGAATGGTTCAGCACCATTCCCTTTGGTACAGTCCTCATGATAATGGGTGAGTTCTCGTTAGATCTGATCATTTAAAAGTGTGTGGCACCTCCCTCCCCCTTCTCTTACTTCTGCCATGTGAGATGCCTCATTCCCCCTTTGCCTTCCACCAGGACTGTAAGTTTCCTGAAGCATCCCCACAAGCCAAGCAGATGCCAGCATCATGTACCTCTATAGCCTGCAGAACCATGAGCCAATTAAACCTCTTTTCTTTATAAATTATGCAGCCTCAGATATTTCTTTATAGCGATGTGAGAACAGACCAATATACCATGTTAAAGAGCTTAGATTTTACCCTGAAGGCAAAAGGGAGCTGCTAAAGTTTAGGCAGAGGAGTAGTATGACTAGACTTGCTTATTTTTCAATAATCTTTCTGAACACATGTGGAGAACAGACTGGGAATATTCTGTTCCTAGGACAAACAAAACTCTGCTACCAACCTCAATATGAAAATCTGCCACTTGCTTATATCCCATCAAGTTACCAACTACTAAACTCTAAATGAAACTTTTGGAAAATCTTATAAACAGTGGTAGCAGTTTATCAAAAAGTCCTGTATTTCATTTGGCCTCCCAATGAATTTAGTTTTTTATTTGCTTGTTTTAAAAGTTTTGTTTTTAATGTTAAAAAATACATATAGATATCCAAATAGAGGAAAGACCTATCATTTCATGAGTGATGAGACAGTGTAGTACACTAAAAAGAGCATTGGGCCAGGAACCAGGGGGCACAAAATCTAGATTCAGTTGCAAAAACTAGCACTGTGACCTGGGACAAATTACTTAGCCTGTCTGGTTCACACTTCTATCTTCTGTAAAATAAAGAGATTGAAGTAAATGTTTTCCAGGGTCATTTATAGCTCTATGATTCTTAGGGAAAAGACAAAACAGGCAAATGCATAATACTTTATAATTCAATTAACTGATCAATATATACTTTATTAATAAGACAAAATCTTGAACGTCAATATTTGAAAATATAAGTACACACATGCATATAGATGTGTACACACTCATATACAAGTAAGCAAAGTGAGAAAAAGAACCTTAAAATGTGTAGAATCCAGTGGATTCACATCACACAAACTGTGTGATGCCCAGAGCATGCAGACAGTTCCATTTGATAGTCTTAACTATAACACTTGTTGTTCCAGAGAAGAAAAGAGATGAGATTGTGGAATCTGATGCTCCCTAAATTAGTCTTGCTTCCCTGTGCTTGTAATCACCCTATGTGGGATTCTTAAGTTTAAAGATGGATAGCCATCCAGTGCTCAAGTAAAGAAAAAGTGATCTGCTTTTGAAAAAAAAAAAAAAATTCTGCTAGATCTAAGAGGTGATGATGTAGATACGATATAATGAACTGAATGGGAATATGGGATTTTGACTATAGGTGATTTCATCTTACTGTAGTAAGAAGGGACTTCACCAAATATTCATCTGCTATATGTTTATGTCTCCTCATTTAGTATTCCCTTTAAAGGAGCATTATGTTGGAGGTGTAATGTTTTGAAACCCAACTCAGAATTCATTATTTATAATGCAGAAAGAGTGAATATATGCCACACAACAAGCCCGATCCAGTCTTTCTGACCTCCAACATATTCCATTGTTGTATATATTTACATTTTAGTGCAACACCCTTTTAAAGTAATAAATGGCTGGATATTAATAATCAAGGTCCCAAGGGAGAGGAAGAGATGCACTCAAAATATATTAATTCAAGCTGGGTGCGGTGGCTCATGCCTATAATCCCAGTACTGTGGGAGGCTGAGGCGGGCAGATCACAAAGTCAAGAGATTGAAACCATCCTGGCCAACATCATGAAACCCCGTTTCTACTAAAAATACAAATATTAGCTGGGTGTGGTGGCATGCACCTGTAGTCCCAGCTACTCAGGAGGCTGAAGCAGGAGAATCACTTGACCCAGGAGGCGGGGGGTGCAGTGAGTCAAGATCACATCACTACCCTCCAGCCTGAGCAACAGAGTGAGACTCTGTCTCTAAATTAATAAATAATCTAATTCATTTTCTCTTTCAAAGGATCTAATAAAAAGGCACCAAGTCTTTAGTTGATTGAGATAAAGAGCTCCCAAATTTTATATCAAAAAGTGCTCTTCAATTATTAACTTCATCTTAACTAAAAACAAAGGTATATTTCAATGAGGAAAAAGAGACAAAGGTGACCTAAAATTTGCGTCAAGCATCAACGCTCGGACAGTCCATTATGACAGATAGCCTCACACTTTGAAAACAATGTCAACTTAACTGAAAAACACTTCTGGCATAATGTCAGGAATCTAAAACTGCAACTTGTCCCTTTAACTGCTGTTATAATCATCCTAAGTAAAGAACATAGTTCTTTAGGAAGTTGAGATTGATTATTAACTAACTTATACAGACTTATTCTTTTTTTTTTTTATTTGAGATGGAGTTTCACTCTTGTTGCCCAGGCTGGAGTGCAATGGCATGGTCTCATAGGCTTCTTATTCTTAGGTGTACCTTACACTATGATTTGGAGAAATCAAGTCTCAAACATTCACAAAGATGGAAAATGCAAGCACAAAAGCCTAGAGTTT